TGTGGGGATTCGCCGGAGAAAAAGCTCAGCATGGGGGGCCTAGAGGGATGGCCGGAGCGGCGGAGGACCGGCGGTGGGGAGTGGTTTCGGGGAGGGCGGGGCGGCGAGGCAGTGCGGGTGCGCCGCTAGCCGCGGGCGGGCGGGGCCGGCGGTTTGGCTGGTGGTGGCTGGCGGCTCAAGAAAGGACATGTGTCGGGAGGTTGAAGAAAGATTGTGGGCCATTGATTTCGCACCCAACGGTTCAAGAATCGACTGACCTCAAACAAAATTTTCAGCTGACTGATTTCTAGCCACGCCCTACTCCGAGTGGTATCATTGGTGGGGAGATATGTACAAATCTCAGTTTGGAATGAGGTTGGTGAAAGTTGGGCTGAACCTATACTAGGAAATTATGAAAATGTTATTTTTCTTTTTTATTAAATTATAATGTAGCATCAAGCTATACAAAGTAACGTAAAATAAGGATGCACAAAGCCAAAACCAACGATCTGACAACTCAAAATAAGGACACAATGACAAGAGTAAAGTTATATAAGACCGGTACTATGCATATGTTGATGGAGGTGGTGGCCCGATTCAGAGATTATGTTGTCACTCATGTTGGGTAATAAGCTCCCTGGTCATCCACTCTAACCACATAGGCACTGCCGTAAACAACAGTCGGTACTCTGTTTGTTGCAGTGCAATATCACATATGAAGCCAGTGCGTACAACAGTAAATAACCTGCATAGGAGAAGATGTTCGTTGTTATAAACAACATCATTTCTACATGTGGAGGGAATGGCATTGCGACGTTTTTCTTTTTCACCGGTTACATCTTCGTTTAATGAAGTTTAGTCAGATACGGCTCCGTGGGGGAAGTTGTGAGGTTTGTGTCTGATCAGTCATAGTTGGGATTATCGTCTGGCCCTCTTCCTATTGCCGGCGAATATTAAAGGATGGGGGATAGAAACTAGCAGCGAAACTATGCTACTCCCTCTGATCCATATTAAATTAAAAATTGATGTTGCTTTAGTACAACTTATCGGAGGGAGTAGCATATGTTTCGACAGTTAGGGTTCAGTTTGCCCTTTAGAATGTTCAATGCATCCATGATGGGTGGTCTAAACACTATGCAATGCTGGAATACGATAGCCCCGAAAATACATGTTGGATTCTCTCATTTATGCGGAAGAAATCATGGAGCGAGAGAATATTTGTGCAACCCCCAAAACAACAAGAGTATGATGGAAACAAGAACTAATGATTTCCATGGAGTATAACTATGATCAGGAACCTCTAGCCATATGTGCGAACATTTCAGTTCAGATGCTCCCGTTAATTGTTTATGGTGTATCTCCTCAGCATGACACTCCATGTGCAGCGCGACACCGGACAGAGCTTAGACAAGCTCCCAATTTTAATACGCCCCTCAGAATACTTCTCATTCCTACGTGTTGGCGTGAAGCAGCAGCAGGAGACAAACCATGGATACAGCTGTTGAATTCGTCGGCTCATCTGGTCTCCAGAGATGCCATTCTGCTCGATGCAGTGAAGATAGGATGAGAGGTCGAAGCTTCTGGGTTCTGGCTGCTGTGTCTGAAGAAGGTTCGTTGTAGTAGTGAAGATAGGATGAGAGGTAGGGCAGAACGAAAACATGTTTTAGAGCCTATGCATCCGGGTACTCCTTATCCAACCACTCATTCCTGCATCACGATTCGTGCAAATAATTTTCTCTTTTTTGTTTCTCTCATATAGAACATGTATTTTGTACTTCAACTTTGCAGCACAACAAAGCTTTCTATGTAGAATGTGGGATAAAACTTACAGATTTTTTGGTCCAACATAAATATACAAAATGAGATTTATTTGATTAAAAAATCTTATTTTTCATATTTATGTCGGACAAAAAAATCTGAAAGTTTTATCTCACATTCTAGTTACAAAGTTATGTTGTACTGCAAAGTTTGAAGTTCAAGACATGTTTTATATGAGAGGAACAAAAAAGAGAAAATTCCATGTAATAAGGTAGTTGTGTAGCACAGATCTCAAAGCATCATTGGAGTGTTAGGATAGTGAGGCCCGAGTGCATAAGCTCACAAAATCTGCATTCTAGGGCAGAAGCTTCTGGGTTCTGACCGCTGTGTCCGAAGAAGGCAAGTCAAAACGAAGCACAAACCACTCCCCCTCCTCTTCCGGCCGACATTTTCGCCTGATAACCAGATTGTCTCGAATACCAGGGCCAGGTAGTTTCACTGGCCCGGTACCAAATTGTCTCCAATTCGATGCTGTTAGATACGTCTACTAGTCATTTTTCGTGGAAGAAGAAAACGAAACGGAAATATGGCAACATAATCTGAATGTGCCCAACTCTGAACCATAGTTAGATTGATGCAAGAATCTAGTCAAGGAGGAGTACAGTTTTATACATACAAAGAGAAAGAAAAAGGTTGAGGAGTACTCATGCCCCCGTTCTGATTTGTGGATCGAATTATGGGAGCTCAAAGGTCAGCGAGATTTAGCTGTGGACAGCAGGACAAGACCGATGCGTGGGCGAATCGAACCGCACCACCAAGGAATTTAGGTTTGACACGATGAACCTGCCTGGAGAGATGAAGCTTCCCCGCGCACGATTAAACTGGACCGACCGACCAGCTCGCGACCGACAGCCAACCCCCTCGTGCAACCAAAACTAAAGCCGCCGAGATCTCCCGATCGATGCGGCGTCGTCGTCCAGTTGAGATTGCTCAGATTGTTTTCCCACCCGGACAGCGAGAGTGGGCTGTCATTCGTTTGAATACCAACGATCTCTCGTTTGAATATGAATGATCTTGTTTGGCGTGATTAACCTGCTTATCACGACAAAAAAATGGCGTATTTTAGGACAGACGACTTGGCCCGTCAAGGTGCTGGCGTCTGTTAAGATCTCCATGAGAAGCAGGTCGTCTCTCTCGTCTTGGTGATCTGAGAGAGATTCCGCGATTAGGCGCTGAGACATACAGTAAGATATTACAAGTGGCGCACGATGACTGTACTCATTTTCACTCTATTTGTAGGACGCTGCTGCTGTGTATCACGTGACCAACTTGACAACTTGGCTTGCGAGTTGCCGCCTTGAACTCCGATGTCAACGGTAGGGAAGGGAGCTCGACGTATCTCGAGACGACAGGTTCAGTATCAGATGAAAACATGTCGCAGCAACGCTCAGTACTGTCTGTCTGCAGATTGGTAAGAACCTTCTTTGCACTAAACTTAGGATTCATTTTACGACACCATTGATGATTGATCTAGGCTAAGCACTTCATAGTTCAGACTCTCCCAGGTTCTCACCATCGAACTCTACCCAGCTAAACAGCGTTAATATGATCCTGATTAGCAAGAAGAGATTCTCAAATGATTATAAGTCACTGCTGTCTAGGCAATAATCAGTAGAGTTGGGAAGATCGTTAGAGTTCTGCAGCATAATTAGCACGGCAACCAGAATCCCCTCTGACCGGTGCACCATCCATTGCCAGGGGTCACTGAAACGGCACGTACAGGTCTCCCAACACCATGAAACAGGCAATGATTATAGCCAACTGAAGATATTCACAAGGCTATATTCATTGACAGACGCCGTGAACATCGAAACATCAATAACCTTCATGCTTGTAGATCATCAAGAAGGCGGTGATGATGATCATTCAGCAGTGCCAGAGGAGAGGATCAACTCATGTCAGCTGGGGAACTTAGAATTGCAGTCTTTCTCACATAGAG